TTCGTTGTATTGTGAACTGAGAGTTTGCGACTTCAATGCGCATTTTCTCTTGAATTAACTGAGAGACTACCCTGCCCCGGGTTTATATCAAAGGTTTTGACTGTTTAGAACAGAGAACTCCTACTTCTTTGGCTCGAAGGGGTTGACTAGGGATTAACTTCCTTATAACTCCAGTGTTTGGGATTTGAAAGAAATGCCTGTACATCATCAGTAAGGTCCGTTCAAAAGCATACTGTATAAGATCATGGTATTGTTTCGTCATCCTCCCTCTAAAGGCTTGCAGCTTTTTATCAAGAGTCAAATATCATAAAGAAAAGCATAAGAGTAGTGAAACGAATGGATGAATTCAAGACAAACATATGCAATGCATTAATGTAAACAGAGTTTAACATCAACAGATACTTGTTTGACAGCAAAAAGAAATTACAACTTTGAAAATTCAAAAAGAAGCAAAAGTCTTTCAGTTTGAGCTTCGTTACTTCAAGCGGAGAACCCTTTAACGGAAGATTTTCATCTCACCGTCTGGCATGAATTCCAGCACCCCAATGTCGATCAGATCTTGAATCTTGTTCTTCAAGGCCCAACAGTCGTTGGTGTCGTGTCCCGGGCTGTAGGAGTGGTAAACACAGAATGCGTCGGGATTATAGTGAGGAGAGGAGGTATTGAGCTTCTGAGGAGGGTCCTTTACAGTAAGTAAGTTGACCTCCAACAGGCGCTTCAGTATGAAGAATGATGGTATTTCAGTCTCCGTGAACTGTCTTCCCGCCTTTTCTTGCTTACGTCAATTACCCCTTTGACGCTGGCGAGGTTGTTGATGGGCTTGTGACCCTGAAGCAAGCAAAGGAGCTTTCCCTTTGTCTTCTTGAGTTGATGGAGGCTGAGCGGTGACTGGCTCTTCTACCTCAGATGTTTGCCCCAGTTGGTTGTTTGGAAGCAGTTGGCGGACAAGAACTCTGAGTTCCTCTTGTCTTCGAGATATGTCTTGGATGAGAGCCATCTGGCCCACCAACTGTCCCATCACTTGGGTCATCAGTGTTGTCAGATCAAACTGCAGCTCTGCAAGCTGGTCACTCCTGGCATTGTTGGAATTCCCCAAGCCCTTGGTGAGGAGAGCTTTCATTTCTTCTTGCCCTAGAGACAAGTTCAGGAACATCTCCTGCAGCTGAGCAGTCTGGTCTTGGATGTCTTTGACAGACCGTTCTAGAGCCATCTCTTGCTGAAATAAACAGCAGGAGAGTAAGGAAACCTGAAAAAAGAAAAAATTGTCAAAATGCAATGCATGATATGTGGATGCATGCTTTCAAGGATCTCTTGGGGTAAACGCAAGAAAATGTTAGAGGTTGAACTTTGCTCTTGGATTGGAGATCTCCGCACCAGTGGACGTCCCTCCACGAGAATCAAGCTCACCATGTCGAGTGGGTCATAGCCACTGATTCAAGTGGTTGTTCTTGAACTTTTGATTGGAGAGCTTTGCATAGGTGGATGTCTTTCCACGAGAATCAAGCTCACCATGTCGAGTGGGTCATAGCCACTGATTCAAGTTGTTGCACTTGAACTTTGACTGGATTGGTTTAGAGGAGAAACCTCTTGCCCCTTGATAGACGTCTGGTTCAACGTAACCCTGCATCAAAAGAAACCTCGAGATCCTTGAAATGGTTATTGAAAATGCTATGGTATGATGTCATGATGTTATGTACATGCATGCACAAGCAAGTGAGTGTATATACAGACAAACATATTTACACAAAGCAAACAAGTCCTTAGGTTTAGGCTTGCATGAGGTTCAGGTACTACCCTCTTTCAGTTTGTTGGTTAAAACCTGTCCTATCAAAAGTAACCGGGTTCTAGAGGATCTCATATCATTGGCTACCCTCAATCGGTCATAACTCCAGCATCGCAACCTTTTCTCGCGGCCGGAACCATCTCGAGAGTTTAGCCTCAATGAGTGTAGCATACTGCTATTGTTCTAATGGCCAAGTTGGTCAATTTAGGGTTCTAAGGTCGGTTGGTGCTTAATGACTCCTTGGAAGACCCATATTCTCCCCGTCTCAACACGAGAGATATCGGTACAGACCAAGATGCCACACCAACGTAGCCACTGCTTCACCCATGTCGGTATACGCCGGACAGGTCCCTCACAGATTATGCTACCTAAAAGGGTATTCCCCAGATCCGGGTTAGGATCTATGAAACTCCGATACAAAGCCCACAAATGTAAAGCAACCAAAGCAATCAATTGAAAGTAAAGGTGATCTAAACCCTAAGGTAACCCCACTTTTAAGAATTCTCCCCAGCAGAGTCGCCAGTTCTGTGATACGGTGGGAGAACTGACTAGTGTTTTGCGTTCGTATTCGCACTTGTGCGGTTGAGCAAGAGTCGCCACCGACTTTTTACTTTATCCTAAAGGAAAGGTTAAAAAAGCACAGCAAAAACCTTTTGAGATATTTCGTGGGTTCGGGGGGTAGATTATGAAGAGGGAAGGTATTAGCACCCTTTTCATCCATGGTTATCCATGGGCTCTTAGTTACTTGGTTTTTTAGATCACTTGCCTTGATTTTCGATTGCTTGAAAATGGTGTGTGTATGGGTGCTTTTGAAAATGTTTTGGAAGAAGATGCCTTGTCTTAGGCAACTAATGTATTTGACTCGTGATTGAGTGTTTTACAAAAGTGTGGATCTTTTCGAAAAGATGTTTTCAAATTTTTTTGAGAGTTTGTTTGAAAGTGTTGTGGAGTGTGATTTTTGAAAAGAAGGCAAGTGTTTTTTGCAAATTGATCTCAAGTAACTAAGAGTTTTGTCTACCCTATTGTACTCAAAGGTTTTTGTCATGTTTTAACCCCTTTTAACAATTTTGCTCCACCATTGAAATTGATGGATAATCTTGCGTTTAGGAAGTTTATTCGGGACGGGCGCGGGTCATCGTATGAACCATGAATGCAATGATGCCAAGTGTCTTTGGCAATTTGCTTTGAAGGGACTATGATCATTCCGTTTAGGCAACACTTTGAGACTTATGATCATTTGATTTTATTTTGCCAAAGATACTCGACGTGCAAGCATGGCCCATTTTGGAAGGCAACATGTGGGATTACCCTAGGGGGTGTAAGTGTGGTTGTGTATTGATTACATGTATTTGTCTTGTATTAGGTTATCTAGCGTTTGATTTTATGTATATGCAAACCCTAGGTCTAACCATGGTATAATTGGAAAACTGTAAATTGCGGAAATGTAAAATCTACGCTATTACAAAATAGTATCCGGGAGTGGGGGTACAAGTGTATGAATGGGGATGAGACTTATAGTATCCAATAAGTTACAACCAAATCGAATTTGCGATCAAATGTAAATATCGAATATACAAATATAAGATAAACAAATGTGTATAGGGCAATATGAATGTATTTGTGTAAGTGTACATGTATATGAGTATGTAGATATTTACAGGTGCGATAATATGAAATTAATGCGAGATTAGGGTTTTTGACCTAAATATGTGTTTTAAGGAATCTTTGATTTGTATATTTTTAATATGTACAAAAGAAAAATGTTTTTAATTAAATCGTATGTTCAAGTTCTAATTGAAAAATGAAATGATGTATCATTGTTTATTATATACAAAAATGTTTTAATTAAGTGTTTTAAGAATTTTAATATTAGAAAAAATATGGATTTTGTCTATTATGTACAAAGATATATTTTAATTAAAAAAAGTTTTCAATTTTAATTATATGAAAAAAGTATTTTATTATTTTATATACAAAAAGTATTAAATGTCCAAAATTAAATTATGTATGTTAAAAAGTATTTTTAAATTGTTATGTACAAAAAGTAAGTGAAAAGAAATGTTTTTAATTTAATCACATTATATATAAAAATGTATCAAATGTCAAAAAATTGAATTATATATAAAAAGAAGTGTATTCTTAATTGTTATGTACAAAATTAATGTTTTAAAATTTATGTACAAAGTATATTTTAATTAAAAGAATAGAAAGTCATTTTCAATTTTAAGTATATGATATAAAAAATGTATTTATTATTTATATGATTTTGTAATAAAGAAAAAAAATGTTTATATAATATAAAGAAAAGAGGTTAGTGTTTTAATAAAATGTTCTGTTAGAAAAGTAAGAATCTTAATGGGCTTTGGGCAAAACGGAACGGGCAAGGCCTGTTTGGGGGTCAGAACAAATTTAGGGTTGTTTGGCGTTTTCATTTGGGAAGCAAGGTTTTAGGGTTTGAGCGCGCCGTTCATGGGGTTTCGTTCACTCGTTTTCTATGCAAGCTTCTGGGCCATGCCTCTCTGCCTGAGCTACCCCGCTACCGCCTCTTCTCCTCTCAGATGGATTAGACAGTCCTCAAATAATGGTTAGTGTACCGTTTCGAATTGGTTTAGGCGTTTTTGTTTTAGATTCTTGCATGTCATGATTTATATGCTCTGATCTTCGTATTCGTTGTGTTTGTTTTAACGAGGTGATGAAAAGAAAGATAAGGAAGGAATATACTACCTTGAGAGGAAGATGATGGGGAGGAGAGGACGAGGAAGTGCTGAGGAGGCTCAGTGGTGCAGAGGCCCGGTGATGAAGCTGGAAGCTAGCTTGGAAAAATTTGGTACTTTTATCTTTTTGCCATTTTCTAGGGTTTTGATGATGATAGACTTGTACTGAGAACCCTTACCTTGAATTTTCCCTTTTCTTCTTCTTCTTTAACACTGTATATTTGTTGCCTCTTTTCTACCATATGATGATAGCCTTGAGATGAACTTTTGATGGCTTTTATTGCCCCTCTGATCTGTTGATTATGATGCCTTGAGATGAACTTGCCCAGTGATGTTTATACTGAGGGCCTAGGGTTTGGACACTGAGTTGCTTTAGTTCTGCTGCTTATGAGGAACACCTATTTTGCTTTGCTCATATGCTCTTTTCGGTTGCCCTGAACTTTGTTCTCTTCTTCTGACTTTCTTCTGATTTGTTACCTCGAGTGTTGGTCGTATGCTTGCGTATGTTGCACCCTATGATGAATATTCTGAGGGTTGAGTTTGTTTCAGGAAGAATTGTCTTTGAGGCTTGGATTTGCTTGGGTATGCTTGAGGGATTATGTTGGTTATTGCTGGATTTGTTTCAACAAGTTTCAGGTTCGGACAGGGGTTGGTATGCTGGTATGGTTTTTGTACAGACTATGTGTTTTTTGGTTCAATCTGTTTGATGCTTAAGCTTTGCTTTGTTTCTAGTTTTTGGCTTGGTTAAAGCCTTGACAGGTTTGAGCTTGCAGTAGGTTTATCTTGGTTTTCAGGTTTGAAGGCTAGGCCAGGTTTTGATGGTTAGGCCTCTGGTATCAGGTTATGCTTGGTTTTTATGTGTGTAGTTTGTATGTTTATGTTTTTGTTGTTTCAGTTTGATGACAGGCTGGTTGAGAGCATTAGCAGGTTTGAGTCTTTGGGTGATTTGGTGAGGCTTGGCCTTAAGCTGGTTTATGGGCTGGAGGTGTTAAGGCATAGTTACAGGTTTGGTGTTTGTTTGATGTATGGTTTTTTTTTCTTTGACAGTCATGTGAGGCTTCAGGCTTTGTATGGTTTGTATCTTTCTCTCCCTCCTCCTTTGAACTGTGTTGTACTTGTGTTATATGCTTTTTCTTCCTATCTCCTGCCTCAGCCTGAAAACCTGCCTCTGCTCACTTTTATCTCTCTTCCTTTTCTCTCTATAGTACAGTTAATATATTTAATATGATTTATTCTGTACTATTTTTCTGAAAGTGGCCACTTTATTCTGGGAAATGATGAAAAGAAAATGTGTTGCTTTGCATACAATTTTCCTCTGCATACTTGATCTCTCCTTGACAGCTTTTTGTCCTTTTTGATATCTTTCAAAAATCTTCTTTTTTGACAGCTTCTAGTCTTTGTGACAGTAACTTGTACTTCCTTGGCATTTGATAGAAAGTTGTAACTTGGATTTTTTCAGTTTGGTTTGAATTTGAAGTTTGAGATTTTGAAATTATGCAGTTTGATTTGTATTTTTCCAATTTTGCATAAAAAATCTTCCCTCTCTGTGAACCGGGAGAAATCCCGTGATTTGCAGAGAGGTTTAACTGATCCCAGTCAGTGGCCCTTAATGATGAGTCTAATTTTATCTGTCTTTAATTAATTCAACTGCTTTTGACTTTTCCTTTTCTTTTTGCAGATGAATAATGGAGCACCGGAACGAAGTGAAGAATGAAGAATTAGAAATAAATAGGATAATTTTCTTTTTTATTTAATATTTAAATTAATGTAAACTATTGTTTGTAATTTAAATTATAAACAACATTTGTACAAATAATTCAAATATCAATAAAATCTTTATTACCCAATTAATTCTAATTCTCTTTCTTTATTGTTTATTTATTTATTTAAAACTCTTTGAATTAAAACAATTGAAAAATAAATTTCAATCATTCAATTTAGAATAATAAATAACTTAAATAAAACAATGTCTTAGTAATATTGATCAATTAAACCTGTCTTTTCCAATATCCAAAACAAAGTAGCAGTTAACCAAAATAAACTGATCAAGCACATTCATTTTTTTTCACTGATTCTTTGCCAAGCACTGTAATACCAAACTGCACATCTTCTTTGACTGGCTCAAACAACACAACATGAATTCAACCCAACTGCCTCTTTTACTGATTAAATCAAGATAATGCGAATTTAACCCGAATCTCGGAATAAACTGCGACGTGCTGTGGAATTTTAATCTTTCTGAGACTATGCCCACAAAACCTTAATTCCTGATTTAAATGCCAAATAACGTTCGCCTGATCAAAATTGAGCCAAAATCAACCAAAACCCTGAGCCAACTGTTTGAAATAATTCAGAGTCCTGAAAATCAATAAAACCCTAATTTTGTTTTGACTGACGAGAAAAGTCCGTTTGTCCGATTCTTGAGCCAGTTTGAAAAATCAGGAAAGGCTTGAAGCTGAGATTTCTTGGGGAAAAATGCGAGGGCAAATTTTGGGGTACAACAAGCATGTTTGTAGCAAAAGTAAACTTGCAGACATTATCACAAAACCTCTTGCGATCGAACCATTTTCAATTTTCGTTGGGAATTTGGATTTCATGATATCTCTAATTTTGCCTAAATAGTTTTATGCATGCACTCTCTCTATTATTGTTTAACCTTTATTCGAAAGGTATAGTTCATGAGAGTGCATTCTCCATTTATCATCCTATAAATAATTATCTTCCATTTCTTATTTATATCTCTTAAAAACTTGTTATGTATTTATGTTCCAAATGTATGATATATATTTGAGGTGTAATACAATCCCATGAATGTTCACTTCAAAATTTTTTGTTGTTAACCTTGTGTGTTTTCAATCTATATGCTTATAGTTACTTCATGTTTTAATCTTTTGCATTTCATGATCATTTGTACTTCATGGCATAAACTCTTCATTTGAAATATCTTATGATAATAAAGCTGAACATGTTATTTACCTCTATTGCATTTTCATGCATTGATTGGTTATTTATGTTTAGGAATTGTAACTTTAACTTCATTATATGTGAGTGTTGTTTTTGTTGATTAAAATTATCTTTACAACGCCTCTAACTAATTTATATGTCATTCTGTGTTTTTCATACATGATGCTTCTTAAATTTTTATGGATTTTGTCTCTTTTTGATATTGTCATAGGGGGAGAAGCTACACAATACAAAGTTTGGTTGAAAATGTTAAAAGAAAGTGCACATATTCAGGGGAAGAGGTGATTAAAGACTACAAATACGTCGTATATTTTGCCATCATAAGAAAAGGGGAGTATGTGATTGTAATATCCTATATTAGATGTTTTGAATGATGTCAATACTAGGAAAAATGTAGTATCCATATATTGGATGGTATCTCTCTATGTCTAGGTATCATTATCGTGATAGGACACTTAGGGTCGAGTCAAAAGCTTTTGAACATGTTAATAACTTAAAAAATATGAGTTTTCATGAAAAATCATGTTTGGAGTCGACTCATTCGTATTAAGAGTGGACTCATTCTGAAAGAAATGTGAAAAATAAGTCTCGGGTTCAAAGGAGATGACTTCTACTGAAAGTAATTTCAAATATATTTTCTCTGGCTCGAAAGATCCGACTCCGTCGCACTTAGAGTCGACTCATTACATGAAGGAGCATTCTCCCATATGTATGGGTCGAATCCTATTGAAGCAGATTCTTCAATTTTTGTTTTTTACCAAAAGGAGTCTACACCCAGGATGTATGGGTCGACTCCTATGCCCTGGAGTCCACTCCCTCTTCATATGGGTCGGTTCCCTCTATTTAATGTATCAAATTTTATAATTTTTCAGCCCATTTTTTTTGTTTTCTCATGTACACTCTCACTCACATATATATACTCATTCATGCATCATTTCAAACAATACAAAAAGACAAACATACAAAGAAATTGCTCATCATCTTCATCCTCTAATGATGCATACACATAAACAAATTACACGTAATCATTCTTTGTTTGTGTTCCATCTAGAAATAGTTTGATAACGTCCAATTAGGGTTCATTGTAATCGATTAGGTTGATAATTTTTTGGGTGTTTCAAATAAGAAAACCAAGTTGGGGTTTTCCTTCAAGATCAATGGATGATTTAAAGGTTTTGGACAATATTACGTAATTTGGATTCAGTGAAGTGAAAACTTTGAAGAATAATATGTTCGATCAAAGGAGTAGCGCGAGACGGAGGATAAAATTGGTAAACCTTGGCTCGTGATATGTTTGTAATTTGGATTCAGCCGAGTGAAGTTTTTGAAGAACGAATGTTCTTTCAGAGGAGTAGCATGAGACAGAGGATCAAATCGGAAGATAGAATCAACAACATACTTAGAGTTTTTCTTGTTGGATTGCTACTTGTTCTCTTGTATTAACATTATGCAAAGGTTAATTTTCATTATCTCAATTGATAACATAATTGGGGAAAGACATACCCATAATGAGGCCGATAGGGGAACTTCCTAAACAAACCCTTGTATCTCTCTCTTTCTCTCTTACTCTTTACTTTACGTTTTATTGAAAATTCTGAAAACATCGATTGTGCGATCGATACATCGAGATAATCTCTTAGGTTAATAACTGTTTACCCTGGAAATTGGTAAACAATGGTAGTCTCTTATTAAAGGTTACTTTGAGAGATCGACTAGGGAATCTCAGGACAACACTTTAACTTTTTGGTGTTTTGAGATAAAAATGTGATGAGTGACTTTAATGCAAGTGATTTCGACATGTTGTGAAGTCGAATTGTTTGCAGAATGATAAATAAAGCTAAAAAGACTTTAAAGTTAAGAAAATATATTTGCAAAACTTAAGAAAAGTTTAAAGTAAATTTGCTTGACATGAAAGAAATAGGTGATTTAAACATACATTGCTCTTGCTTGACTTATTTATCTCTTCTCTTAGGTACTCAGAGTGTGTGCTTGAGATGAAGGTAAGTTTGAATCCCTAAATATATTTACAATAACTTATTTATAATAAAAGAATGTAACTTCTCCTTTGGCGGGTTCATATTCTCTGAGCACCACGTGTCTTCTAACTTCTCTCCTTGTGTTTCACACGTTCCCAAGTTTACAAAAACCTACGAAGGAACAATCTTTTCCCGCGTCTGTCTTTTCGTAACTTCCCGTCGTGAATAAACCCTTCATGTCATCTCCATGCTTATGTTGATTTGACTTTTCTCTTTCTTTGGCATTTTTCATCAGTTCTGGCCACACTTGTAACTTTTAGGCGGATTTTGGCCTTTGTCAAAATCCTGGCCAATAAACTGCCCCCAAAATGCCTTTGTCGATTGATAATAAGAGAGAGGAATTTTCACATTTTTCTATTTAGCATCATGTGAGGACGTCACCATCATCATGACTTTCTTCTCAAAGGTCATGTCTACAGTACTGTAGCCATTATCCTAATGTAGCCCCAACTTCTAAGGTTAGATCATGGCCCACACTCAACAACTTCCTCATTTCTCCTACCAACTGAAACAACTGGCTGAAAAAATCATAGAGATGAAGCCAATGATGTCACCATCGAAAGTTTTTTGTCCCACAAGAAGGGAAAGGTAAACATCGAGTAAACCTAATAAGGTTGAAATCACGATTAAACGACCAATAAATCAGGTAAGGAAGTCAATTATGCAAGGGGAAAGTATTAGCACTCCTCACGTATGTAGTACTCAACGGTATCCACTTGAAACAACCGACTGAAAATCATCAAACAATGAAGTCTCCATTGAGCGTCTTTTATCCCACATGAAGGGAAAGGTAAACATTGAGAAAACATGAGAAGGGAGAATTCACGATCTTGCGACTGAGAGATCAGGTAAGAGAGTTTGTTACGCGAGGGGAAGGTATTAGCACACCACACGCCGGTAGTACTCTACGGTATCCACTCTTGTTATCTATCTTATGGGTGTGTTTAATCTATGCTTATTCTTTACTACTGAAGAAGAATGTATGCAAAAGAAAGGAGAAAATAATGTAGGGAAAATAAAGGTGTACTCGCTTGGGCCGTACCCCAATGCCTACGTATCCTTTTTAAGGAATCAGAGTTACCGTAGTTTGGCTCACATGTTTTGTTTGTTTTGGGTTTTTTATGAACAATGTTGATTCCACCTTCTGCCGCAGCTCGACCTTTGGAGACTCACACGTTGGCACATAAGTAAATTAATCATGTCCTTACTTGAAAATGGTTTTGAGTTACGCCCTCAAGGAAAGATGCCATGTTTTATTGGTTTGTGTTTTGTTACCTTAAAAAGGGGTTTAAGTATGATTAGCATGTTTTAGGTTTGCTAAGAAAAGAGGTTTTAGTTTTAAATGCAAGGATGTAAAAAGGGAAGAAAAGAGTCTACGGGGGACTATCCTATTTCTAAACCTAATTTTATCATACAATGGTATCCCTACGTCAAATATGAAAGGGAAATCTCTACCTAATGTTAGCATGCATGGTTTTCAACTTGAGGTCAAACTTGCATCTGAAGGGAACAAGTGCATCCTAAGGGGACATGGTATGTATAAGGATAAAACAAGCAAGATCGAAAGAGCACACACATAAAATAGTAAGGAAAAGAAGTGGAATGCTTTAGCCAAGGGGATTGTATCACCCGATACAAACAAGTGGGAGTAGGATGTAAAACAAAAATGTGATGTCCAAAGCGATTGAACACCTAACCAAGATATAGGAGATCGAGGTAGGCGACAAAAAACAATATGAGCAATCACGGAGTGTCAGCATCGGCCAATGTGAACTCTTGACAAAGCATGGGGGTTCGATTGCGGAACCCTTCCCCACTTAACGACTCGGTACACATGAGCAGGCACAACTCTGAAGCATCGTGGTACGTCACGAGCTAAGGATGACATAGACGAAATTATGGGGGTTAATTGCGAACCCTCCTCACTCGCCTCTTTTTGAGAACTTCAATAAGGGATATGGGAATAGATGCGAGGACAAATATAAACACACCTGCAGAATACCTACTCAAAGGCAGGGTTTTAAACAAACCAAACACAAGTAGCAAATATAATGCACACAATGCGGAATATACCTAAATGAGTCTTTAAATAAACCAGAGGGATTCCTAACATGTTCAGCAACAGAGACCCCCTTCATACATCTCTACCCTACTTCTCATGGAAAGGAAAGCAGTAAAGTCCTACTTCTCATGATCTCTAGAAAGCGGTAAAGAAATATGATAAAATGCAGAAATATGAGAATAGTAGCGGCGACTACCACAAGCAAGCAAATCGTCGAAAGTAGACAAAAGCAATGGTGAATCAGGGAGTATGCGTCGAGCAAGCTTCACCAAGAAACAAACAAAGTCAGAAATGATATCCAACTAAGATAAAAGCAAATGTGTGTTGTGAATGCAACGTGTAATCAGAAGTTCCTGCGCAAAGTATCATAAAATATCACATGCATAAGGACAACATATAACATGATATGAACTTCTCAGGACGATGAGAAATAAGGAGTGTCACATTGGAAGCGAGCATAAGCCATATGCTTTGATCATATAACAACTTGTTATGTTACATGAACGATAGCAAAAAGAATATACCTTGCTAAATGAACGAACGCGTTGAGAATAAAGAGACAAAGCGGCATGAAGATATGGATAAAAACTAAAAGGAAAAAAGTATTTTTTATTAGTTTTTATATAAGAAAAATTCTAAAAAAATATTAAAGAATTAATTCCTAAAAATTTCTATTATATTCTACTATCTTTTATCGTTTTTATTATATTTTATCAAGTATTTTTATCGATAAAAATTAGGAAAGTGAGATTATAATTAATTAAAAAAACAAAAGTGAAATAAAGGAAACATGGGTACGAAGTAAGAATTGGAGTGTATGAGTAGTAAGGGCGCTAGGCCCATGCAGTAAGTCTAATAAGACCTTCTTTTTTGTTTAAGCTGCAACAAATGACACACAAAAAAAGTGATGGGCCTCACTGGGACATACAAACCCAGTCCGAAATTCCATTGTTTGTCAAGCAAAAAGGAAATTCCAAAAAGTTACGGGCCAGGGACAAGCAGGTTCGATCCAACAAAGTCCATCCAAGAGATATTATTTTATTCACACCACTATAGTTCTAAAAAAAAATAATGGGCCAATGAACATGAAGCCCAACACATTAAGACAAGGATCCAATTCTCTTTATTATGTTAATTATATATTGAATCATAACAAAAAGAAATTAATAAAAATCTAAAAAAAATTTTAGGAGGAATTAGGGTTGAATTTGGGTGTGCCTTTTCATCTTCTACGAGAAAAAACACAACGGATTCTTATCTTCTTCACCCTTCAAACGACATTTTTTTCTCACTCACCATACAACGGTGGCAACTCACTTCCATCGTCCGCCTCTCTTCTTCTCTTAAACTAAATCGATGATGAACTCAATGACCTCATCTCTGCTAGCTCACATTCTCAATCTCTGCCCGTTCTTGATTCTCACCTCCGATAAATCATCGCCTTCAACTCAGCTCTCAGTCGAGTATCTACCTCAAGCTCTTCACTCTTTCCATCTATCTATCTATATTCTCATTACATGGTGGCCGTGATTCAAAACTCAGGAAACTCAACAGAAATCAGAAGCAGGGGATAGTAACAACAACTCACATTCAAAATGCGTTTATGATGTGAGACGATTCAGCGGTTACACAGTTGTGCTTACAGCGACTCAATTAATCATTGTAGTGAAAAATAATCAAGCACGGATAAAAGGAAAAGATGAGATTCCAGGCTTACCAATTGGAGATCGTCCGATGCGACTTTGACGACGGCGAAAAGGACAAAAAAATGAGAGATAACGAAGTGTAGCTCAGGTAAAAATCTTTGATTCTTTTGTTTCTTTGTGATATCTTCTTATGCTTCTTTCTGCTTTTTGAATGCTCACGTTTCTTGATGTCAATGTTGTTATGAAGTTGCAGCGATGAAGAAACTGTTGTAGCATGCAAAAGATACAGATGAGTAATGAAGCATGAAGGTTGAAGCAAACGAGGAAGATTGATGATGAATTTGGGGTTGATCTTGTGTGTGCGGATTGAAGCAGATGATCAAGAAAAAAAATCACAGAAAGTGATGGTTGATGATGATGCCGAGGGACGTACAAAGGAAAGGTTGAAGATGAAGATCGAAATTCTTCACAGAGTCTTAGAGAGATTCAGAGGTGAGCATCGGAATTTTTGTTACTTTTAATGACTCAATTGTAGAAAGTGAATCCTCTCTCTCCAATTCTATTAGAGTCATATTTATATAGGTTTAGTCATAAGTGATCTCAGTTGTTAGATCTAAGAATGTTGGTTAAGGGATTAAGGGTTGGTTAGAGGAGGTTCAAAAAAATCTGTTAGAAGTTAGTACTAGGTTGTTAGGAAATTAGTTAAGAATGTAGTTAAAAGTTATTTTCTGTTTAGAAATAGTTAGGAGGCTTTTTTGGACATTGGGATTTGGTTATGTGTTAGTTATAGGAATTAGGTGGGAAGTTGGTTAGAATTGTTAGTGGGTTGAAATCATGTTAGAAGAAACGAATATCGAGGATGAGAGATTAGAATGATAGTTATAAAATTTTTGTTAAATTGGTTTTTGATTTCTGTTTGAATGAGATGGCAGGTAGTTAATTCAGTTAGGGTAGTTTTGAAGTCGGTTTGTTGCACTCTAATATGGAGTTATTTCGGGTAAGACTGTTCTGAGCATTTTTTGAAATTGATTAGCCGTGTTATGAAAAATAGTTGGTGGTTAATTTCAGTTTTTTCTGTTAGAAGTCAATTATAAACAGTCAGTTGGCTGTTTTGGAAGGTTGGGAAATTGGTTAGAAAATGGTTAGGGGATTGTTAGAATGGTTGGAGGTTAGGAATTCTGTTAGCAATTCTGTTTGGAAGTTGGGTGGATTTAGAGAAGTTAGCTGACAGAGCTAAAAAATAGTTAGATGTTAGTTATACTGTTAGAGAGGAGGTTATCGAATTTAGTTTGATAAGTTAGCCGACAGAGCTAAAAAACAGTTAGATGTTAGTTATACTGTTAGAGAGGAGGTTATGGAATTTAGTTTTATTTGTTATAGGTAGTTGTGATTAGGAACTTAGAAATTCTGTTAGAGAAGTTGGAATTCTCTTAATGCTAATCAGTTTTCTGTTACTTTGAATTCTTTTTCATATTTTCTTGATTTTCTATTTTCTATTTTTAATTTAATCTGAATTTCACTTTTCTGAGTTCTAAACCAGCGCTTGAACTAATGCAGGTGGTTTTTAGGTTGCTTCTTTTTGTCATTCTCGAGACTGATGCATGGAGTTTGTTTGCTGTTGAAGAACAGGTCAAGAAGTTTATGAAATGGTGAAGGCTTTTGGATCATGAAGAAAGTTTGAAACATGAAGGGCATGAAATGTTGGTACATGGAGATCTTAGAATTTGAGCAACGTGAAGAAGATTGAAGATGAAGGTTGGTTATGGAGTATTAGATATTGGTTAAAGCATGAGATATCATGAAGTTGATGATGATGTGAGGACAAAAGATGGAAGACAAAGTTGGGTAAAGATTAGGTATTCTAGAATCTTTGGCTCAAATGGAATAGAACTTGAAATCTTTTGTAACATTTGTAAAAATATGGATGTGTTTTGGATAGATTTTCCATGTAGTTTGAATTGTTCCTTTCTATGACTTAGCCTCTATGTATGAATCGTTATGCCCTATTCTTGAATGAACCATTAGATGCGTCTCGACAACCGAAAGCATTCCCGCCTTTAGTATCCCAAAGTGATTGAACATGCTTACATATCCATGGTCTTTAACCTATAACGCCTTAGTCGCCCATGAGAAAAACCTTGACTCATACACTTTACAAAACATGATATATGCCTTATGATTTGAAACTTGTCTTCTAAGCAACCCGAGTGTTTGTAACTTATTTTCCAAGAAATCCAAGTGACTCTCCAATATTTGAATCAACTCTTGACAAACCAAACGCTCAAGAACTTTGAAACAATCTATTTTCAATTTGATGAAACCATAGCCCTGTCTTAAACCTACATCAAGCAATGAATTCCTTGAAGAAAGCTCGATAATGTCCTTGGAGCTTGAGGAGAAATAAGTCATCACCAACCATGAGTCAAAAACCTATCTCAACAGTCCAATACTTAAAGAAAGAGCCAGATGAAATTAATCTTATTTAATATATACACCTCAAACGAACTGTGAAACCTTAATTCTTCAAGATCTCTGATCCCAAGCTATGTTTATTGGTTAATTATGCATGCTGCATTAAATGACCTAATGGAAAGGTAATGCTTGTGAAAAATAAGAGATGCATAAGCCATATGTTTTGATGAAAGCATATGATAAATTTGGGGTATTACAGCTGCCATTATTTAATCGTCTTAAACCTGAAAGTACGATTGGCGCGTAACTTTTGGAAGATCGAGGTAAAAGATGATTAAATATCAATGCCAAAATTTTGTTATGAAAGAAAGTATGAGTGTATATTTATTTTTGTGATATCTGTTGGGGAAATAAATTTTTGTTTTTGGTGAGAAAACTTAGATTGGACTCATGACTCGGAGTGATGCCAATATAAGACAAAGGTTGGTATGAAAAGATGACAGATAAGATCTACGGGCGACCTACGATCCTAAGGTGAAACATAAGAGCGATCTATCAGAGAACTAGGCCTATGGGCAACCTCATAATTCTAAAACAGGATCTAAAGGGAGAACTAGGCCTACGGGCGACCTCAGGGTTCTAAGATGAAACCTTATCTACTGGAGAACTAGACCTATGGGCGACCTCAGAATTCTATGATGAGACATCAAGGCTATCTGTCGGAGAACTAGGCCTATGGGCGACCTCAGGATTCTAAAAAGATACATATGGTCGATCTGCTAAAGAACTAGACCTAAGGGCGACCTCAGAATTCTAAAACAAGATCTTACGGGAGAACTAGGACTACACGCGACCTCAGGGTTCTAATATGAAACCTTATCTATTGGAGAACTAGGCCTATGGGTGACCTTAGAATTCTACGACGAGACATCAAGGCAATTTGTCGGAGAACTAGGCCTATGGGCGACCTCTAAATTCTAAAACAAGATCTAAATGGAGAACTGGGCCTACGGGCAACCTCAGGGTTCTAAGATGAAATATAGGAAGAACCTAGCCAATGGCCAATCTCAGGTTATAAGATGATCTATAGGAAGAACCTAGCCAACGGACGATCTCAGGTTCTAAGATAATCTATAGGAAGAACCTAGCCAACGAGTGATCTCAGGTTCTAAGATGATCTATTAGAAGAACCTAGTCAATGGGAGATCTCAGGTTCTAAGGTGATCTATATGAAGAACCTAGCCAACGAGTGATCTCAGGTTCTAAGATGATCGATAGGAAGAACCTAGCCAACGAGTGATCTCAGGTTCTAAGATGATCTATTGGAACAACCTAGCCAATGGGCGATCTCAGTTTCTAAGATGATCTACAGGAAGAACCTAGTCAATGGGCGATCTAAGGTTCTAAGATGATCTAATGATTACGACATGATGAGTGTTCATACAAGGGATGACTAATGGTACTGATCTTATTGGGATCTAGAGGGAAAATAGACACAAACGAGTATTCAGAGAAGTTGACACGAACAAGTGTCGGGAAACTGACAGAGATGAGTGTTTAGGAAATTGACATGGATGAGTGTTTAGGAAACTGACACATATGAGTGTTTAGGAAACTGACATGGATGGGTGTTTAAGAGACTGACACGGATGAGTCTTTTTAGAAGTACGATATACTAACACTGCTAGTCGGGTATCGTGATATAACGAAGGACATTAGTTGAAAGTTTATGAGCGATATCCTCTCGTGGGGATGTATTGCTATCTTCGAAAGATTCAGGTCTTTTGTGTAATGTACCTGATCTAGATTATGCTTTGAATGCATGTGTGAATTCCTTTTTTTGCCTCAAAGACCCATTCTGATGGATAGACTGCACGCTTTTGAAATATGCAATGTTATGCAGTGATAACTATATGCAATGCAAAGAAAGAAACTTCATGGGGACAAGAGAAGGCTCGTTGAGAACTATTGCTCACCACTGGGGATGCCACAGATGGGTGTTTAAGAGACTGACACGGATGAGTCTTTTTAGAAGTATGATATACTAACACTGCTAGCCGGGTATCATGATATAATGATATAATGAAGGACATTAGTTTAAAGTTTATTAGCGATATCCTCTCGTGGGAATGTATTGTTGTCTTCGAAAGATTCAGGTCTTTTGTGTAATGTACCTGATCTGGATTATGCTTTGAATGCATGTTTGAATTCCTTTTTTTGCCTCAAAGACCCATTCTGATGGATCGACTGCGCGCTTTTGAAATATGAAATGTTATGCAGTGATACATATATGCAATGCAAAGAAAGAAACTTCATGGGGACAAGCGAAGGCTCGTTGATAACTATTGCTCATCATTGGGGATGCCACAAATGGGTGTTTAAGAGACTGACACAAATGAGTCTTTTTAGAAGTACGATATACTAACACTGCTAGCCGGGTATCGTGATATAACGAAGGACATTATTTGAAAGTTTATGAGAGATATTCTCTCATGGGGATGTATTGTTGTCTTCCAAAGATTCAGGTCTTTTGTATAATGTACCTGATCTGGATTATGCTTTGAATGCATGTTTGAATTCCCTTTTTTGCCTCAAAGACCCATTCTGATGGATCGACTGCGCGCTTTTGAAATATGCAATGTTATGCAGTGATAACTATATGCAATGCAAAGAAATAAACTTCATGGGGACAAGAGAAGGCTCGTTGAGAACTATTGCTCATCACTGGGGATGCCAATACATATTGGCGCTGGAAACCTACAACCAAAGATCACTGGGGATAGTAATAAGAATTTGCATTGGGGAGCTCATGATGCCGAAGATTATTGATGACTCCACTGAAGATTGAATTGCTGACGAAGTGAGCCTATAGGTACGCCACTGAATTATGAATTGTGTTGTTAGGGAAGAGATAATCTGGTCCAACTTCCCTACATCCCGAACTGCTGAGAGGATGGCAGGACTAAATATACCAAGGAATGGGTACTGAACACCCTACAGATCTCTTGAATACATGCCTCAAGTTTACGCCACACTGGGGAATCACCTCTTAAATCATTTGGGGATAAAAGATGGACATGAACACTTATGAATGCCCCGGTTTACTCCACTGGGGAAATTCTATAGGAAAATTTTACGAATGCCCCATTTTAGCTCTACGGATGCCCCGATTTATGCCACTAAGGATGTGCACTTGTGCGCGCTAATTCAAATGAGGAATCTGGACTTTCCAAATTCACTTGGGGAATCATGTTTTGGATTGTCTGTAGTAGATGATAACGGCTTTGCACGCTAGCCATGTTAGGGTGATGATTGTGATACTTCTAGCTTGATTTTAGTCGTCTCGTACAACAAAATTGGCTTGAGCAACTTTTCAAGTACGGATGAGGAATGCCCTTGTCTGGAGGATTTCTGAAAGAATCTATGTTGAATAGAAGACCAGAATATTCGTGCCACAATACGATATGAGGTGGCCTGCCTCAATGTCTTGAGTCATGCAATAAAGTGCTCTTTATTACAGCTTTCTTAGAGAGATTTGTCGAATCTCGATGTAACTGCCCCAGGTTGAATGAATTCTGAATAGATTTCTCGATCCTCAAGTTGATGGCAACTTAAATAGGTTTACCGATGGGATGGCTTCAGATTGGTCGAGCTTGAAGAGATTTATCAACGTCATAGCCTCTAATTGACTGAAATCTTGCTCAATGGGGTGTTCTCATGCTGGTCTTCTAAAAAGTCTTCCCCGGAATAGAATCATTCTTTAAGATGATTTGCTTTTCGGCAGATTTCTGAAGCAATTTATCCCTTAGGATAATAAAGTTTTCATTTGATGCTCATCATGCAAGCTTACTTGATGTTTAAGCAGTCATTCACATGCAAAGAATGTTTCTCTAAGAATGATAATCTTAATGCAAATCTTATGCTTGTCTTGAAGTAAAAAAACTTTTATTGAAAAGATGTTGAAGCATCGATTTTTTCTTATACGAAGGACAATAAAAAAAGGAGTGATACTTTGTACACCAAAATTTACTCTCTAATTTTTACTCAAGACATGCTCCTAGAGGTCCTCAATTGTTCAAGGTTGACCAAGAATTGACCAGACAAATTCTCCTCCTAAGCAATGAACCTCTAATTAGGGTTTCAATTTTCACAAAGATGTTTGAGCTCCAAAGGTCTCAAATATTTTCCATTGTCCTAACATGCCTTCAAGATTTTCAATGACAAATTTCATGC